CAAAATGTATAATCTGGAATATAAAATATGATAATATCATTTACTTCATTCAAAGTCAGCTAAACTCAAGAAATATTTATATCAGGTTTACTATGTTACTGGAGATTGCATTTAGTACTTGAATCCACATTTATGAATTTTGCATTTCAGGGAGCATCAAGTCGAGTTCTATCCAAATCATTACTGTATATGTGTTTGGGGAGGTGATGGAGTATGGATACACCAATTAATTTCATCATAAGGATAAATGGGAAAACAAGAAATCCCCATGAGTTAGTTTAGTTTTAAATGATCTAACTATAATTCATTTTACATTCATATGTCAAGATGTGATTTTTGGTTTAGAAATCGATTGTAAGCACAAATAACATATTGAAAAACTAGGGAGGACTTTGCATGTTATTTTATAAAGGAAAGCAAGAAGCTAATTGCAGTTATTTCCACAGAATGAATGTTGAGTTTTTTTGTTTTGTTGTTTTCTTTTGAATTGCTTTATTCCGAGTATATGTAAAGTAAGGGGTAAAGTCTGGTATCCAACCCTCCTGGCACCCCCAGTTCCACCTCTGGCTGGGCAAATAGCTGGACTCTGGAGTCAGATCAACCAGGGTGGGTCCAGTTCTATCACTTCCCAGCTGAGGAGCCCCGGGCAAGTTGCCCACCATCTCTAAGTTTCTCATCTTAGAAATGGGTTAACAATGTGACCCGACTTCCAAGATTGTTGTAGGATTCAGAGATCCTGCAATTAATATGTTTTACATAGTACTTGGCATATAGTACATACTCAGCCAATACTAGCCAGTGCTGATATTTATTTTAATATTGATAGTTATGGTTGATACTATTATTATTGTATTTTGTCCCAGCCAATGTTTTTGTATGTGCTATCTAGAAAGGAAAATCTGTCCCTTTTGATGTTCTGCTTCTCATTCGTTTTGCAAATTAAGATCAGAGAGGAAAGCTCTAGATTTCTCTGATTTCATCACTGAATAACTGGAGGTAATTAAGTGTTCCCTGCAAAGATTTTTAATTCTAGTATTCAACACCAGAAAAAAAATAACCCCTATTTACTTCCCGGATACAGACGCAAACAGAAATCAAACACAGCTGCTGTGATTGCTGCATGGGCACCATCTCTGCTTGGTACCAAAAGAGATAATAATCTTGCAGTATAATTTTATAAGGAAGTAACAAAATCAATTACATTATCTCAAGTGTAAACGCTGAAGCCCTTATCCTGTTGCCCGTTAAGACAGGCTGTAACTGTGGCAGCTGCTTACCCACCATTATAGACGATTTTAGGTGAAAGAAAACATGGGCTAATTAATGAAGATTTGATTAGGAGTATAGATGGCCTTTCAGCTTGATATCTAAGAATGGTACCAGCAATACAGTTGTTGGATAAGCAGTCAACACAAAGCAACCATGGGCACAAGGGAAGGCAGTGATGGACAAATAATTTGGCTCATTTTTCATTATTAAAGTCTTCACAAGAAGCATGAACAAATCCGTAAACCCTTTGGGCTCACTGAAATGCCACATGATCGTATAAAATATTATGAATCATTAAAGTAAAAGGCTAAGAAGAAATTTAAAAGGCTGTGGGGATGTGCTGTTTCCATAATTGTAATGACTGTGGCGCTAGTAGGCTGTTTTCCGAGATGTGGTGATTAAAGTAGAGAACATATTTTGTTGTTATAGAATTTAAACTTCATATAAAAGATTAATTTATAGACATCCAAGCCTATAACATAAAATCAATAATTATGAACCTCTGTAACCAAGTTTGTGAGATTTCAGAGCCAAAAAAAATCTGCTTTATAAACTCAACACAAGTTGACTGACCCTGGACAAGTTACTTATTAAATCTTTCAGAATAATCATAAATACCAGGAAAGATCTTTGTGAGTATTAAATAAAATTACTGTGCTAAAATTGTGCTTAGCATAAGGTAAACACTTGAGGATAAATAAGAGGATTCCTTTGTTCTTTTCTCATTCTTCTTTAAGTTTTTCACGTGTTTATGTTTCCTTTCTCTCTGTCTGAAATAAGATATTTAACTCGATCTAGTGACTCTATAGTAGTTATTCCAATTACTTACCATGTGTAAATTATTCTAGTCTCTGTATATGTTGTATAATGTATAATATCTGCTCCTTATAATGTATAGAAATGAATGTAACATTTAATTTTAGCATTAACACTCTGTCCAAAGGGAAAGTCATTTGGAGTAGTCCTTGTCTTCCTTTGCAATGCTAAGAACATTGGCAGAGTTCATCATAAGACCATTTAATCAATCAAAAATACCCAAAGGCTTTATGAATTCACAAGAAGCAATGATATGATGTAATTTCTTACTTGTTTTTACTTGTCTCATTTCCTCTAAAAGTTTTCATTACCTTATGTTTTAAAGAAAGCAAGACCTGGCTCATGGTCGGCATCTAATAAATTTTTGTTGAATGGAGAAGGAAGGAAATAAATATTTTAATTGTGTCTAGAGGCAACAGTTTCTTAATGGAAGCCAAACAGTCTTTGATTAAATTATGCAGGTTAAAGATCATTCGGCTACCTGCTTCTTGTATTCATATGAAAGCTACTTGAGTTAATTTCCTGGGATAGGAGAAGAGTTATATTAATTACATTGTAAGGGGAGACTGAACAATTTATAGCATCCTTTATCCATAGTTAGGGTTTTAGTGGTAATGGGACCCTGGAGACGAAATGACAACCTTCTCACGAAGAAGAAACCAAATGACTTCAGCCTGTGGTGCTGAGCTGCAAGAGGAATTCATTTGCATAGTCTTTCCATTTGAGTTAGCTCCTTGCCCTAATACTTATTTTACTAAAACTTCCATCTATTCCAGGAGCACTTATCTATCTACAAAAAATATACAGGAGGATAAAGACCAGTGTTGAGAACATTATCTCTTGGGTCAGAGAAAACTGGTTGCGAATCCCTTCTCTTATGTGGCCTGGGCCAGACTGTCCAAAGTATTCGTCATGCTAACCTCATCTTGCCATGCCTCAGTTCCCTCATCTCGAAAGGGGGGATGACAAACTCTTGCCATCTTCAAAGTAGAAATAACAACCCTTCACAGATTTATTATTGATGCTCAATGTAATAATGTATATAAGGCATTATCACTAAGCCAGGTGATGCTAAGCAATTATGTGTTATTACAACATACATTAGAACTGGGAGAAGAAGTTGAAGGAAAGTGATATAGGCAAGGATTGTCGTATATTCTGCACATAGTAGGTAACTAATTTGGCTCCAGGCTTCCTTTCAACCAACATGGAAGAAGAACCATGACTGATCACATAGTTCACAGGGAACTTGGTTATGTTAATTCTACATATATATCTGGCCAAACCAGAATCACTCTCTTCTATCCCTATCTTTTAATTTCTAGCCAAGATCTTTCTACCAGACACAGCAGTATGGGTTTTACAGACTCATTGTGTTACAATAAATGCTGCTCATGTTTGCCGATGACTATCTCTTAGCATTTCCCACAGAGCGTGCCCCTAACCTCCCCCCCTCCAGCTGTTTGAGAGCACCTGTAGGAGAGACCCTGACTAAGTGTCTTCCACTCAGCACACACCATTCTCAAGAAGGCCACGTCCTTGGAGGAGGCCAAGGATGAATTTGGGGTTATGTAGCTTATTTCCCTCACCCACGTCAGACATTCCTTAATCACAGGGACCACCCTTATTATCTTTAGGTATTCACTCATTGCTTCTCACAGAGAGTGAAGAATGTGTGCTTCAGCAAATGTTTGTGATTTGCAGTAATGGATGAACACAGGTGGGAGAGTTACTGGCAGGGGAGCCCGCCTGGTTGTAACAAAGAGGTTATTTCAGGCAAGATGTATTTTTCATCCAACTCTGATGACAGTGCTCAAGGCTTACATCTTAGCATTTTAAATGAAAAATGAAATCTATATGAACTCCTCTTCCCTGGGTACTGATGTGCAACGACTTGTGTTATTAAATGTCGGAATGAAATAGAACCAGTTTTCTTAAAAAAGGAGAGAAGTATAATTCTGGCACCCCTTGTATCTTTTGGAATAGGTATATTGATCAATTACCTTTCAAGGCCTATAAATCATTATAACTCATGTAAAGTAATGGCCAAAACCTATATCAAAAAGATAGTATATGCCTTGCTTGGAATATCACCTACAGAGGAAATGAAGAAAGGTTATGCTATCATAAAATTATTATTATTTTTTTTCATTTTCCAATTGTCTTTTCATCCCAAAGTTGTTTTTTTTAATTAATTTATTTTTGTTACAGATGTTTCTCCCCCCACCCCAGACACCCTCCTCCCAATCCCCTGTCCCCCAGCATTGTTGTCTGTGTCCATTGGTTACACATACATGCATATAAGTTCTTAGGTTTATCTCACCCTCCCCTTTCCTGCCCCCCTCCTCTGAGCTCTGTCAGTCTGAACCGCACTCCTTTCTGTCTCTGGGTCTATTTTGTTCATCAGCTTATTTGTTCATTATATTCCACAAATAAGTGAGATCATGTGGTATCATAAAATTATTTTAAAACTACATATTGAAATTATTGTAAAATGACCTAAATTTTCTTTAGAAAATAAAGTTGCTTATTTATATATTCTCTTTTCCATATATTTGAGTTAGTCAGTTCCTTTTCTTTGAATAATCATTCCCAAAACAATCTCCGCGGAGTCTCTCCTTACTTATCCAAGTTAATACAATTGGATGAGAGATATGTTAACATTTACTCAATATGGTGCTTCTTTTTCTTGCTTGTTTATGATTAAGAATCCCACTCTGCTTTAATTTACATGCTAGGAATTCTTTAAATGTTAAACAGGAAAATACATAGAGAGGTTGTCAAGATAACGGGCTCACATAGAGTTGGTCGACTTGTTCTCATATGCTGTATCTAAGCCTGGATTCGAGTTGTAGAATAGGGTTTTATTTGACCAAAATAATAAGTCCTTGTAATCCTTTTTTTTTCTTTCCCAGCCCCTTTGCTCTTACCCTGTCCGAAGCCAACATGTCACTGCAAACTGAGCCAACAGTAAATACTTCTGCACTGCAGAAAATCGCTGCTGACATGAGTAATTTGATAGAAAATCTGGATACTCGGGAGCTCCACTTTGAGGGAGAGGAGGTGGACTACGATGTGTCTCCCAGCGATCCCAAGATACAGGAAGGTAAAGAATGATGGTGTGAGCCAGGAGAAGAGAGTTTGTCAGGGTGGCTTGGCAGAGCACAGATTTGAAATAACCAGCAAATGATGGATCTTCCTTGTTGATGTCAGAACACTGGGCTGAGACTGTTTCCTGAACTGTCTTCTTATTGTTGCACGTTATGATTCTTAAAAAGGATGCCTGCAAAAGACAAGTTACACTACTATCTTATCATGTATTCTTGCAATATCATTGTGTTCTTGCAATAACTTTATTTACTTATTTATTTTTTTAGTGTATATCCCTTTCTCTGCTATTTATAAGACTCAAGGATTTAAGGAGCCTAATGTACAGACATACCTCTCTGGCTGTCCGATAAAAGCCCAAGTTCTGGAAGTGGAGCGCTTTACATCTACAACAAGGGTCAGTGCGTTTATGGACTCACCTTGTGTTAGTTAATATATACGAATTAACACATTGACTTCTGTTTTCCTTCCTCCAAGTTATGCCTATGTTTTTAATTTTTTTGTTTATCTCTTCTAAGTCCTCATCACCTTTCAAGGTCCTGCTTTCTTCCCATTTGGTCTTTATTCTCATGTGTCTCTTTTCCCTATCCTGGAAAATACGTTTTTTAAAAAGACATCTAAGGCAATTTAGAAGTTTAATAAATTTTAAAGTGCCTCTCCTAGTCCTCCTCACTCCCTAGTTTTGTGTTCAATGTGGACTCTTAAGGCATAACCATTCCCCCTATAATGCCAAATATAAGCCAAGGAAAAGTTGAGCTTTCCTAATGCTTGTCAAGTAAGAACAGGATGATGCCATTGAAAGAAAAAATAACCCAGGATGCTGGATTGGCTATTGCCATTACCTAAAAGCACCGCTGAGAGAATCCTGCAGGCCTCCTCTGCCTCCCTGATGTGTTCCTAGCCCATGCTTTATTCCCCATCCACATGCTTTTCCTTTGAGCGCTGGACTGGCGTTGGGAGTAAAATGTCTTCATCACGCAAAGCCACATCCTTTGAAATGGATGGGACTAGGAGGAGCTGTTAGGGTTGCTGCGTTTGCTCTGTTACTGCCTGGATTCTGCAGTTGTCAGGTTGGACAGAGGGAATGTTGCTTCTTGGTGGTGGCCTTTGTTCCTTCAGGATAAGCTCTGGCCACTGCAGAGTAAGGCCACCATTGTCTCCTGCCTCAGGGGACGTGTAGAGTAAACGTTCTGCCTGGTCAGGCTTTGCCTTCCCTTCCTCGTGCTTTGGGAGGGTGATACTTGTGCTCTCTGGGTCCTGATGGCTTTGCCTAGTGCTCTGTCTGGCCTGCCTGTGCATGTTCTGGCTCCTAGTTTACACCCATCTTGCTGTGCAGCCCTTCCTCTAGGCTTTCCCTGTGAGTTGGGTCCGCATGTCCCTGGCACACCACTGAGCACCACCATCCAAAAATGTCTCTAAATGACATTTGCCTTCTTATTTGCCTATTACCTTTTAGATGGAGAGGTTAAATGCAGACTCCAGAGCCAGACTGCATGGTTTAATTCCTGTCTTTGCTTTGTGACCTCTTACAAGTTACTTAACCTCTCTGTTTCTCATAGCCCTCATCTGACTAATGGGTATAATAGTGCCTATCTTCTAGGTTTGTGATGAGGAATTAATAATAACACATATAATATACTTATAGTATACATGTATATTATATATTGTATTATATAAACATATACTGTATAATAGTATGTATTATTATTAGGTATCTCCTAAAGTTATTCATGAAGATAAATATTTAAGCCACCAAACCATAGACTTCTCTCTTTGCATATACTCTTCTGTTAGTCAAATGAGTATGGTTTAGTTCTATTTTATTTTATTTTTTAAATTATTCTTTTATTTTTCAATTACAGTTGACACATAATATTATATTATTTTCAGGTTTACACCCCAGTGATTAGACTATATATATATAAAGTGATCATCTCAATAAATCTCATACCCATCTGAGACCATCCATAGTTATTAGAATATTATCGACTATATTCCCTATGCTGTACTTACATCCCCATGACTATATGGTAACTACCAATTTGTTTTCTTAATCCCTTCACCTTTTCATCTTGGTGTGTGAGAAAGCTAAGGATTATCCTTATCCTACTTAGTATTTTGCTTACTAAGGAATAGGAACTAAATTCATGCAGGTTGAATGTGATTCCAGGTAAGTAGGAATGACCCCTTTTCTGACTACTGAATACATTCTGTGTGCTTGTGGCTAAGTGCTTCTCTTTTCACTCTTGTGACAACCCGATGCGACAGATGTTATCATCACCCTCCCAGGCTGGCCGTCTTCCACCTGCCCCGCCAGCCCCTCGGCCCACCCTGCCCCACCCAGCTCACGGCCTGTGTCCTCTGGCAGGGCTCTTGCTGGAGAGCCCAGATAGGAGATTGGGGTCATCTGAGATGGCTGTGTCCCTTGATCAAAGGCACCCATCTCCCCGCCAAAGCAGCCCTCTTTCCATGGCTCTTTCCTTCCATTCCTTCTGCTGGTCCTGCCACCTGTCCCTCCAGGGATGCCTGCCCAGTCCCAGGTGACTGCCCTCTTTGTGGTTTCTTACTCATCACACCTTCACAGGCCGTTCCTCGAATGATTCCAGTTCCAGAGAATTCCAGTAATTCTTCTGGGATGCTCTCTGACCGAGACGACACGTGGCTGAGGCTCCACAGCTGGTAGGCTGCCTCAGGATTTCAGACCTTTAAAAACTTCATAAAGGGATGTGGCAGGCTGTTTCCATTGTATCGAAGGGCCTCACAACTGCTAAGAAACTTAGTGTACAAAGCACATGGGTTTATGGGTGATGGACAAAACTTGGCAGTGCAATGTTTGGTAAGTATTCAGTTTCCTTAGACCAGGAAATATAATCCTAAGAAATGTGGCACCTTGCTTAAATTGTATAATGTTTCTTATTTGACTTATCTTAAATTGAGCATTTTCACTTAAATGCAACATTTCTGGCCACTCTGAGTTTTCACTGCATCCTTTCTTGTGATGCGTAATGCAGGATGGTGCCTGTAATGTTGGCCAAGGGGGAAGGCAGCATAGAGTATTGGACTTAGAACTTGGTCCTTCAGCTTCTGGCTGTAGTAATCCATCATGGGCCCTAACTAGAGGCAAAGCAAGTGATACATTTGAATATTTATCAGTGATGCGGCTGGGTTTCAGATTTAAGAGCACAAGTTACACTGACTCTCGTGTTCATGTTTTATTTACTACATCTATAGAGTGATCATGCTTTAGAAATTTGCAAAATATGACAAACATCAGTAATGAATGGCCACAGGCCACGAATCATCTTATGGGATTGCTGACACCAGAGCCTGAATAAACTACAGTAGGAGACATTTGCTCTCTCCTATCCCCGGCTCCTATGGTGCCTAAATCTCCCGGCAGGGACCAGTGTCCTCTGGGTGGCCCAGAGTACTCACTCCCTTTCCCCCTCCCCCCACACACTATGGGAGCTTCCTTCAAGATCTCCTGTGCTTTATTTAAAAATATCCCTCTGTCTCCTGACACCTTCTACTATATCAAAATTCCTATCCCCCAGGGCTATTACCTCTTCTGATTAAAATAATTCACTAGTCTGACCGGTGTGGCTCAGTGGTTGCATGTTGAGCGTCGACCCATGCACCAGGAGGACACTGGTTTGATTCCCGGTCAGGACATACGCCCAAGTTGTGGGCCTGATCCCCAGTGAGGGGCATGCAGGAGGCGGCCAATCGATGTTCTTTCTCATTGATGTTTCTATCTCTCTCTCCCTTTCACTTCCTCTCTCTCTTAAATCAATCAAGGAAAAATATTAAAATAAAATAATTCACTAGTCACCAAGGTATATTTGCATTTTAATAAGACATATTTAAAAATTTTTAAATGGAGATTCATTTTTGTTGAGTTGCTGGGGAAATATTTTGTGTGTAGGAAGCTCTTTTGCTCCTTTCCCTCTAGCGGAGCTATACCTTCCTGGTTCCTGGTGGTGCTTCGGGCAGGGAGATGTGGACGAGGATGGACCTTAGAATGCATTTCTGAGAAGGCATATGTCACTTGTGAAGGGCAAGAAGTGGGCTAAGATAGTGCCTGGAATCCACTTGCCCCAGCTCCCCTTTCATCCCCTCCACCTGTCTGCTCACTGCTCAGACTTCTGGACGATGCCCTGATGGCTAACTAGGGCCTTCACTCATTGTCTTCTTGACTTGGTTTCTTGTTTCAGGTGTGTGTGTGTGTGTGTGTGTGTGTGTGTGTATTGGGAGCAATTGTATTTGTGGGAGTTTATCTTTAGTGTGATTCTGAGTTTGTCTTATGCATATTGTGAGGCGAACATTTAAAAGAATATTATTCTATAATCAGTTGTTTTTGAAAACATTTTACTTAAGTACTTACAAAAAATAAAGTAAGTTGAATTTAAGGGTATTTCCGTGTTACTTATTAATTAGCTGGTTTTCACTGAGAGATTTTGGAATTTTTGTTATCTAAAATGCCAACCATTTTTATTTATCTCTGTAGGTACGAAGTATCAATCTTTACACTATTGAATTAACACATGGGGAATTTAAATGGCAAGTTAAAAGGAAATTCAAGCATTTTCAAGAATTTCACAGAGAGCTGCTCAAGTACAAAACCTTTATCCGTATCCCCATTCCCACCAGAAGGTAATTGTTGTAGAATTAATCATAAGGTTATCCCAGTGTCCAAGTTGAGTAGAAAGAGAATTAGATTTATATGATGGGTTAACTGTCCTTTGTTGGTGGATATATTCTTATTAAATAGGCTCTTCTAACAATAAACTGTCTCATGGAAGATATTAGAGAGTCATGGCTTGAATGATATTCTAATCAATGTTTGTATTGTGTTTGTGTGTGTTTTAGGCACACATTCAGAAGACAGAATGTCAGAGAAGAGCCTCGCGAGATGCCCAGCTTGCCCCGTTCCTCTGAAAACACGATGAAAGAAGAGCAATTCTTTGGTAGAAGGGTAAGTTCTTCGCTGTTCTGCTGATCTGAACATAATCTTGCAGGCTTGAGGAATGTGGTGTCTACTGGGGTGAGGTGGGTCAGGCTGCAGCTTTCTCACTCATGGATCCGTCACCCAGGCCGGTATATCTTCTTTGGAATTGGTTAGGCAGCCCCTTCTTCCCCAAGCCCTTCTGACCCTGGGGAGGTTGCAGTTTTCCAGAAGAAAAAGTTTTCCTTGGTAGGGATGACATTACGAAGAAGCTCTCTTCCCTGCAGGAACCCCTTGGAGCTCGTTGTGAGCCAAGATTGAGCTCATCATTGAGAGTTTTGAGATCTCCTCTTTTTAAATCATACGTTTTCATATATTTGCTTCAGAATTTGAGGAGCTTGTCCTAAAAATACGTAGGGAATATGTATATGGGAAGAGTAGGGCAGAGTTACAGGCGTGTGCATCAATAGGACAGAAACCTCAGGCTCCTCTGCCTCAGTGATATGGTCCTGCATAGGAGAGATTCATTGTTTTACTAGAAAATTAACAAATAAATGATAGTTCTGTTTTGCCATCTGAAACTTTTATGGTCTGAAGGGGAAGTTTGATTTCTCCTTTGCAGTTTTTATCTTGTTTAAAATCTTTTCTAGGGACCTGAAATACATATTTTCCAAGATACCTAGACAAGTTAAATTCTACAGTTTGGGATTAGGATGTGTACATATGGGAGTGCAGCTGAAAATGATAAGCTAGGGCTTTAACAGTTAGCCCTTCAGCCTCTACTGTAGTCCATATAATTGACATCCCTCTACCCCCTCTCACTTTAACACGTTTGAAATCAGGGTACAACTTACTAGAAAGTCTTCTTCCCTCCTTATTTACCCCTGAAAATCTTTTTAAAAATTGCAGTATATCTTCCAGTAAATTCTGTGTTAGAATTAAGGAAATTAGGTTTTTTATAAAATCAACAAATGCTTTAAAACCACCTATTATGGGCAAATCTCGTACTAGTAACTATGGACGATTTAAAAATTATACAGCTGGGTCGTCAGCAGTTTATAAAAGACCTGATAATGTGAAAAGTTAAATAGCAAGATGATATTTAAATAATGGTTCAAAGGAACTACAGAAATAGCCCCTTAATGCTGTCCAGGATTCCTTGTCCAGTGCTAATATCAATAGTTCACTGAATAACTTACAGAAGCGAAGATGGACCAATGGTCACACTATTGTCACAGTTTTTAAATTTTCCTGTCAGTGTGATGATGTTATCTCTTATCTAAAATATTTGCATTACAGGGGGTGTTGGGGTGGGCGGAGGGGTTGAGCAAAAAAGAAAAACAGAACTCATGGACATGGACAGCAGTGTGGTGTCTGTGTGGGGAGGGACGTGGGTGGAGACGGAGGAGGGCGTAGAGGAGATAAATGGTGATGGAAAAAATAAAATACAATATTTGCATTACAGAAACAACTGGAAGATTACTTGACAACGTTACTAAAAATGCCCATGTATAGAAACTATCATGCAACAGTAAGTACTGTTTAGAGATTTAAATTTTGAATGTATAAAATCATAAATTGTCAGCTAAATTTTGGGTCATTTTTCTAACACAAATGCTTGTATCCACTTTCAAATTGGTCCTTGCATTAAAATAAATGAAATGAATACAAAACTGATAGGACAGCAAGGATCTCGTTTATGGTGATGCTATTTTAAAATGTAAAATGTGGCGGAATATGTCTATAAGAATAGATTTAAATGAACTTGAAATGCTGCTACAAGCTAGATTATCTAGAAATCAACCTTCTTTTCTCCCCAGGCTTCCAGAATAATGTCCCAAAGCATTTCTAACCCTTAAGAGAAAACGTTAAGTAGGAAGTGTTGAAAAACAGTTGAGCAGAATTGAATACCCAAAGATTATACGGAGCATACTGTGAATGCCATCTGATTGGTCTGTGATGCTTATCAAAGGCCCATCTTTTCATGTGAAAGTGAGAAGCATGGGAAAAGCTAGGGCAAGAAGAAACTTGGAAAATGAGAGATGGTGGGATTTGGAGGCAGCTGGGAGGCTCACAGAGGCCAGCAAGGGGGAGTGGGCTTCACGTGGGTATCAGGAAACCACGAGCTCTGCTCTCCTAGAGGCCCTTGGAGTGTGGTGTTTTTAAAGGGTTAGCCTTCAGTCACCCAAAGGTCCAGGTAACTGAGAATGCACTGCGTTATTATATTCGCATCTGTGTTTGCATGAACTGTATCGCTGTGGGGTAGAATGTATGTATGTGTGTCTGTGCAGAACCTGAGAGCGGCCATGACTTGGCCTCTAGTGTAGAGAATGGCATCACATAAATACTGCACAGAAAGAGAGAAGCCCTGTGTATTTAGGAGAGGAAGCAAGAGTGCCTTGACCCTGAGGAGTATTTTGGTGACTCTGCCCTCTTGCTGCCTGTCAGGGTATTATTTGGAGGGTGGGGCACGTACCCAGCTGGGCCCCTTGCCAGGGACATGACCCTGCCAACCATGGCTCACCTTCTGCAGCAGCTTGCCCTGTTCGATGACAGATTTGGAGGAGCTTGTATGGTTTCACAATCCCGGAGAAGAGTTTCCCCAGGGAAGCCAGAAATTTGGGTCCAACCAGTGGATCTCAAAGATGATGGGAAGAAGTTCTTCCCTTCATGGACGTGGAAGCATGCAACTTTGAAAGAACATAACAAATGAGGTTATTACTGCTCTTATTAGTAAAAATGCTGCTTCCTGTTTTCTTTAGTAGGGAATTACTTAAATGTGCACTAGGACCAGGGTGCAATGATTTTCCTTTCTTGCCTTACTATAACTTTACTGTTACTCTTTCTTTTGGTTCTAGAGTAGTACTTGCTGAGTTTAGTCTTCTCTTTCCACGTACATGATTATATTTTGGATTCTAATGTTGATTAAACACTTTTTAAGAATGTTTGTTCTAATTTCTCTTTTAGTCATAAAAATATTTCCCAAGTTGACCCATATGGTATTTAGAAATTCCAGAATGTCTTCTAGACATTTCCTTTGGAAGGGAAAACCTGGTTACAACTGACTGTGTATATATACATTATTCCTTGTTTTTGATGACTATTTAAATTATTTCCCCCAACAGCAGAACTCTCAAAAATGATTCAAGCATAGGATACAATTTGATCTAACTTAATTCTCTGACATTATTTTCCTTTCATATTAAATGTAGTCTGGCCTAGAGGCTAGATATAAAGGCCTCTACATCATAGCTGTGAAATTAGATTGATTGACATCCATGTGTCTCCTTTGATACTTGTGAGAAATATTGAAACTGCTGTTCGCAAAAAGCATATTAAAAAGGTATTTTTTTATAATCATATATAATTAATTTATATTTTTGTAAGTTTAAGACAAACCTATTATATAGTAATTTGGGTCCTTGGGCCAATAGAATCATGGCTCAAGGTCAAAGGATCAGATAGGGTCATGCCCCTAACTTCAATGAAATTAGACTTTGACGGCTCTTTCTTTCTACTTTTATATGACTGTTGGTTGGGTTACTATTTAGACAACTTCTTTTCTCCAGAAGTATAAAGATGTCCTTTGTTGTTTTTTGTTGTTTTTTAAAATTTAGCTTTATTGTTAAAAGATGTCCTTTGTTTTCATTCCTTTTTTCCTCCTTGAGGTTCTGAAAAACAAAGTGTCCTAGTGTTTCAGTGGATTGAACATCAGATGGTTCCCTCCGAGATGGTTGCTAATTCATTTCTGTTTTCTCTGCTCCTTTGTAAAATGAGGATACATGTATTTGGCCTCTTCTCAAGGCATAAATATGTTTTTCAAAAAAGAAATATTTACTCAATTGTACAATAACATATAAAATTTCAAACAGGATTCCTTTTGTGTTCTGAATTGTATTGGTGTTGGCTCTCATACCAAACCTGCTACCTGGGCATTTTAATTAATAACTGGAAAATGCTTATCTCCCAGAGAATTTCAAGGAGGGGTCATTGGAAACAATAAATGTACTTTTTCCTGACTGAAGGTTAAAATCTAGGAATGAAACAAAGTGAATGATTTCCAAGACAAGGGCCCTAAGCTGATAAGGTGATATTGCTAAGGTCAAGTTAATCATCTGACTCCTCTAACTTAGATTCCTTGTCTCCAGTGTAGTGATTAGCTTGAGATCATCACCTTGGATGTAAGGAATCTGAGGGTAAACATCCCACAGATCAATAACACTGAGCTCACCTCTTCCTTGCTTTTTAAGATGAATAAATTTATCTTGAGGGGAAGAGTGGGTAAAATTAATAAAGTTGTAAAATTAATAAAGATGCACTGTGGTGTTTCCATTCCAACTGATTTAAACAGCAGTGTCTGCAAGTTAATGGAAGTGTTGTCTTTCTCGTGATGGAGTCGTAGAGTTGGGAAAGTCTGCAGGCTTTGGTGGAGTCTCAGTTTCCTCCACAGATTAGCTGTCTTCGCTTTTTTCCAGAGCTGTATTGTTTTACAGGAAGGCACCTTTTCCTAGAGTAGTTGAGACCACTCCACTGCCCAACCCCATGCTCTTGCCTTAACTGCTTCTGAGAATTTCCTACTTGGCCACTTTCTTGAATTTTGTTACCTCAGGAATAAAGGGGGCCTCTGCGCATCTCCCTTGTCTTCTACTATAAAGATGAGGTAGAGAAGCAGTGTGTGTGTGATTGCCAAGTAATTCCCAGCATTTGGTGTTACCCTTCGGGTGTGTTTCTTATTTCTCGGCATAGGAGCTCTTTGCTTCTCTCTTTCCCTAACATACTTTTTTGAAGTTCCTTGGGGGAAAAAAGATATTGATTAATACATTATTCAAGAGATCACTACACCCTATGAAATATTGTCAGGTTAAGTTAATGATTAAGTTCTTCCTCCTGAGAATCACATGCCCCATGGAGAATGGAAGTCTTATCACTGAAGATACGCTGAGAAGTTTGGACAACACAATCTTTGTTACATTTCAAATTGTATTATTTAGGTTTGCTTCAAAATTGATCTTGTCACATTTGCTTTCAAGCTGATAAATCTGTATTAGAACATTTATTGCCAGAGATTTTTCTTTTTCTCTCTAATAGGGCTAGTTCTTTCTTGAAATCTCTCTTGAGTCAAACTTGACTGAGCCATTAGGAGAATTTAAAAATTTACATTAATGCACAACTTTAAATTTTCTTCATTGCTAATGTATACTTTTAAATTCAGATGAAATTCTTAACACAACAATTTTGTTTTGATATTGTAAAGTTATGATTTCTGAATTATTTCAAAAAATATTTTTTGGTCAATTATTTGATGATGAGATCTATGTGAAGAAGAAAATATCAATATATTAGATAAGTTTCCCTGGTATTTGCTTTTCATTTCCAATTCTTCTATTCAACTGTTCTGTGACTCTGAATACATGAGTGACACCTCTCTAGTAGTTTCTGTGTAAAATGAGAATGATATTTGATCTCTGCTCCCTAGAGATGAAATGAAAGCTGAGGCTTAGGATTTGCATTTTGCATTCTGGCCTTGACCGGTTTGGCTCAGCAAGGGCCAATGAGTTGCGGGTTTGATTCTGGACCAATGAGTCTCAGATTCAGTTCTGGTCAAAGGCATTCAACCTCAATGTTTCTCTCTCTCTCTCTCTCTCTCTCTCTCTCTCTCTCCCTCCCTCCCTCTCACTCTATCTGATAATAAGTAGAAAAATATCCTCAGGTGAGAAATAAAGAAGAAAACATTTTGCATTTTGTGGCTCAGAGTCTGCAGTGTCACTTCTAATATGTGTTGCTACATCTTCCAGTTAGGAAGCATACCCACAAATCAGATAAAAATGCATGGTACAGAATCACCATGTTTTATTCAAAAAATGAAATGTAAAGACTTTGACTTTTAAAATACCTACATGTTTAATATTAGATATTTCCAATCACATATAAGAAGCTTAAAGGAAAGCTGTTGTGTTTCATTTTATTATTCCATTTACTAACCCAGACCAAATAGTATTTCCTCTGAGATGTCATATCAGCTATGAAGTGGTCACTCTGTCTCTATAACTCTTCAAAGACAGGTAACTGTTATGGTTCTCCCCACAGAACTTTGTGGATGTGGATTGTTTTCCATGTCTGTTATCTTCTCTGCTTCTTGATGCCAGGAGCATGTATTTTTTGTCTTTGATTTTTCTAGTAGGGCTGTTATTGACCTGGTCAAAGACCATTGGCAGATCTGGGCTTACTGTGGTCGCTTCTGTAAATTGGGGGCAAATACTGTCAAACTCAAATAGTTTCTAGGAGTAGACAAGGTAAAACTTCTGCATATACTAAGAATTACATAATGCTCATTGGCTTCCCTCTGTGCCCACATTTTCATCAAGCGCTCACCTCGTCAGAATCAAGTCGCTCAATTTGAGTAAAATAAATGTTGAATGACTTTTTGCATTTGCAGTTTAGTTTTGAGGATACTGACTGGTCTGACCTGATTCTGAATATGCCTTGCTAATTCTGTGGTCTTGGACAGTTTATCTAACTTCTCTAAACTAGAGGTTGGTAAACTGTGGCCCACAGACCAAATCCAGCCCACTGCCTGTTTTCATTTGTTTTGAGAGATAAGAATAGTTTTTACATTTTTAAATATTGAAAAAAATAAAAAAGGAATACTATTTGATGACATAAAATGATATTAAATTCATATTTTAGTATGCATAAGTAAAGTTTTAATAGAATATAGCCATGCTTATTCATTTATGTATTGTCTGTGGCTGCTTTCATGCTACAGTAGTTTAACTATATGGTTCATGAAGCCTAAAACATTTATTGTCTGACTCTTTGCAGAGAAAGTTCGCCTCTGCCTGCTCTAAACCTTAGTTCCCTCTTCTGTACAATAGGACAAATACAGTTGTCCCTCATCACTTTGCGCTTGGACTTTCGCAGCTTCAGTCTATCGCTGTTTTTTGAAAAAACCGCGTATAAACTGTGTATAAATAAAGAATCCTACTTTGCGGAAATTCATTTATCGCGGTAGAGTCTGGAACTGATTGACCGCGATAAACGAGTGCCGACTGTCGCACCTATTTCACAGAGGTTTGAGAGAATGTGTGAAAAATGCTTAGTACAGGGTCAATGATATTAAGGACTCAGTAAATGTTAGCCGTTGATATTATTATAATATTTATAGTTTTTAGTCTCATAATTTATTTAGTGAAGGTGGATCAAAAAATTCTCTTCCTTTATACTCATCAAAATATAATTACTTTTTTATAATCACATGTAATTATTTAATTAATTTCATTACGTTTGCGTTAGAATATTTTGGTATTCCCAATATTCATAGACCTCCCCAACTTCCCCTCCACCTGCTTTGCCATTTAGTTTTCCGTTCCTCTCCTTCACCTTTCTACCTCTAGCCCAGCTGTGTATCCGGTGGCCCTTTTACACCTCTCCTCTTCCGTGTCCCTCTTCACCGCCCATCTCACATGCCAAGGCTAGTCCATCTTCCAAGCCTGGCACCAACATCACTCCCTTCACACAAGTTTCTCTTACCTGTGTGTGCACTAGGCCACACAGTCCCCCTTCCCTGACAACAAAAACAAACACACAAGAATTTGGGAGGAAATTCTCTCTCCATGACTTTCTTGAGCAATGTATTTCTACCTATTAGGACACACATCCACTTCTTGGTTGTGTTTTAACTATGTATTTACTTCTGATTTGTACTCTTTCCGGGCGATACCACTGTTACTGATCTGTGTAGTCTGTACAGTTCTCCATCTGTGTCTAAGCATTGCAGTACCTAATATGTGTTTTTTTGAATGCATAGATTTTTCTTTTTTTCTGACTTTTTAAAGTCTGGATTTTTGGCCTCTTTTCAGACAGAATTTCTTGATATCAGCCAGCTGTCTTTCATCCATGATTTGGGACCAAAGGGCATGTAAGTTTCAGTCTTGGATCTTTAAATAGAAGTATGAGTGTTGATAAGCATTAATGTTTGATTTCTCAGCATACCGTGATGATGGACCTCCCCTGGTTTTACTGCTAGTTTTTTTTCTTCCCCACAGAGTCAGAGCAACTGAGGGGATCTGTTAATGCAAAAACAGAGTATCTTGCTAAGTTCAACAAAGGTAGCAACTGCTCCACCCTCTTTCTTATGTGCTCATAGCACCGATTTCCTCTAATCCCACAGTTGGAATGTTTCGTACATGTAGCAAATATGATGTGTGGGAGAATGCATTTAAAAATCAAACACACTATATTATATATTTGAATGTTGCTAAGACAGTAGATCTGAAAAGTTCTCATCACAAGAAAAGATTGTGTTAAAATAGCTAACAATGGATGTTAGCTAGACTTACTGTGGTAATCAGTCACTTCACATTATATACAAGTATCGAATTACTGTGTTGTATACCTAAAACTGATATAATGTTATATGTTAATTATATCTCAATTTTATAAAAGCAAATCTATAAGATCCCTTCTTTTAATCACTTATAAAAGTTAGCTGTTTATCATTCATTTTCATGACTAAAAATAATACTGTGTAAAATGTATATTATGTAACAAGATTGAAATTTACTTAATGATTATCTTCCTTCACAATATGAGAGCTTGATAGGATGAAGAGCTTAACTTTTTTTTTTTTTTAGTAAAGATCATTGTTAGTAGTTGTTATGAAATATTTCTTTGTTTAGCTATTAATATTGTTTTTTCTTTTCATATCTTTCAAAATCAAAATTTTTCTTTTTCAAAAGCCATAAGTTTTGTTCTACTTTCTTTGTCATGGCTTGATCCTAGAGCTGTAGGTGAAGGGCTGCAGAAACATTGGAATCCATGGAGAATACCTCCTCTGTCTGGGTAGCAGCTGAGCCATCCCGGTGCAGCATTTGGCAATGTGTGAGGACACTTTCAGGCTGTTACAATGACTGGAGGGAATGCTCAGTATTTAGAGCCAGATGCTTAAGGTCCTACATGTGGACCACACAATCATGCTGCTCCCAGTGCCAACAGGTCTACATCGACCAGAGTGCTTCAAAGATGAGCTGCTAGAGTACTCATCCTAGCAAATATGGTACTGAGCTCTTTTAGGGTAAAGGAGGAAAGGGTGCAGAGGAAAGTCATGCGAAAATGAAATAATTTATTTAGTCCCAAGTTATGAGGCTGTATCAGCTAAGAGTGAGCTGGAAATTTGAAGATGATGCATTAACTTGATGTCTCTTTCAGAGAAGGCATGATAATGAAAAGATCCGGAGGGCACAGGATACCTGGCATGAATTGCTGTGGTCAGGGAAGAGCCTGCTACCGGTGGTCAAGGAGGTAGGACTTAGGAGTTTTGTATATTTGTTTTAGTAAATTGGATATCTGAGGAGTTTTTACATACTAGTTTTAAATTAAATTATAAATCAGTTATAAATCCTTTGAAAGTCATAACAGAGCAAATTTTAAATTATTTTAAGTTCCCTGTTTCATTATCTATTTCCTAATTTCAAACCATAGTAATCAAAACAGTATGGTACTGGCATAAAGACAGACATAGAGATCAATGGAACAGAATACAGAGTCCAGAAATAAACACATGCCTTTGTGGTCAATTAATATTCTACAAAGGAGACAAAAACATACAATGAGGTCAAGATAGTTTATTCAATAAATGGTGTTGGGAAAATTGGATAGATATGTGAAAAAAAATGAAACTAGACCACCTTCTTAGACCATACACAAGCATAAACTCAAAATGGATTAAAGACTTAAATGTAAGTCTTGAAACCATAAAAATCCTAGAAGAAAATATAGGCAGTAAAATCTTGGACATTTCTCATAGCAATATTTCTTTTTGCTATGTCTCCTCAGGCAAGATAAACAAAGGAAAAAATAAACAAATGGGACTATATCAAACTAAAATGTGTTTGCACAGCAAAGGAAACCATCAACAAAGTAGAAAGACAACTCACTGAATGGGAGAACATATTCTCCAATGATACATCTGATAAGGAGTTAATATCCAAAATTTATAAAGAAGTTATAAAACTGAACACTATGAAAACAAAAAATCCAATTTAAAAAATGGGCAAAAATCCTGAATAAACATTACTCCAAAGAGGGTATACAGGTGACCAATAGACATGTGAAAAGATGCTCAATGTCCCTAATCATCAGAGAAGTGCAAATTAAAACCACAACAAGATACCACCTCATACCTGTCAGAATGGTTACTGTCAATAAATTAACAAACAACAAATGTTGGTTAGCATGTGGAGAAAAGAGAACCCTAGTGCATTGTTGGTGGAAATGCAGATTGGTGCAGTCACTGTGGAAAATAGTTTGGAGTCACTTCAAAAAGTTAAAAACAAAACTGCTGTTTGACTCAGAGACTGCACTTCTGGGAATATATCTGAAAAAAATCCAACACACAAATTTGAAAGAACATTTACACTGCTATGTTCATTGCAGTGTTACTTATAACAGCCAAGATCTGGAAACAGCCCAAGTGCCCATCAGCAGATGAGTGGTTAAAAAAGCTATGGTACATTTACACAGTGGAATACTACTTAGCTGTAAAATAGATGGAAGTCTTACATTTTGCAGCTGCATGAATTGACCTGGAGAATATTATGCTAAATTAAATAAGCCAGTCAGAAAAAAAAAATAAATAAAAATAAAAATAAATAAGCCAGTCAGAGAAAGACAAATACCATAAAACTTCACTTATATGTGGAATCTAATGAACAAAATAAACAAACATACTAAATAGAAACAGACTCTTTAATATTGAAAACAGACTGACAGCTGTTAGAGGGGAGGGGGATTGGGAGGTGGGATGAAATAGGTGAAGGGATTAAGCAAAAAACAAAGAACCCTCATAGACACAGACAACAGTGTGGTGATTACCAGAGGGAAAGGAGTGTGAGGGGAGGTAGAAGAGGGTAAATAGGGGATAAATGGTGGTGGAAGAAGACTTGACTTTGGGTGGTGAACACACAATACAATATACAGATGATGCATTATAGATTTGTATACCTGAAACTTACATAATTTCATTAACCAATGTCACCTTAATCCATTCAATTTAAAAAAGATGGACAATAACAAGTGTTGACAATGATGTAGAAAAATTGGAAGCCTCGGGCATTGCTGGTGGAAATGTAAATTGTGCAGCCACTTTGGGAAACAGTATAACAGTTCCTCAAAATATTAATTTGAGTTGCCATCTGCCCCAGCATTTCCACTCCTATGTATTTACCCAAGAGAATTGAAAAATATATCTATAGCAAAACTTATACATGAGTGTACACAACAACATTATTCAGAAAGGCCAAAACGTGAAAACAATCCAAATATCTATCAATTGATGAATGGTTAAACGAAAGGTGATATTATAACACAGTGGATTATTATTCAGCTATAAAAATGAATGAAGACCACTAATGGGTATGGGCTTTCTTTCTGGGTTGATGAAAATATCTGGAATTAGTTGGCCATGATGGTTGCAGAATTTGGGAATACATTAAAAATACCACTGAATTGTATGCTTTCAAAGGGTGAGCTTTTGATATGTGAATTATGTCTGAATAACATTTTTAAACTTTTAATAAAAAAGAATGAAGTACTGATACATGCTATATCATGAATGAACCTTGAAAATGTTGCAATAATAATTTATTAGGATTTTTAAAAATATAAGAAATATATGTTATTTAATCTTGAAAAAATATATGAGCTCAGGTATCAATATGAAATTAAGCTGTGTTTGTATTACACACATATAAACTTACAACTGGGATCTACCTTTAAACATTAAGATATAGTGCCAACAAAGAAAAATATGTTGGGTTCTAATTTGGGGAATTTTGAAAGCACTGAAGAAATTAGAAGGAAAAGATCAAAAGCTCAGATTAGAGAATAAGAAAATTTCTGTGTTACAAAAACCCCCTAAAATTTTACTAAATAAAACAGGAAATAATTTACTATAAAATATTTTCTTTCAAATAAACATCTGGAACTTACATAAATGTCCCCAAAAATCTGATGTGTAAGTAACATCACAGGACATTGTGAGACTCCCACCTGACTGTAATGTATCTTCCCACCTTACCCCACCCCAACTATATGAACCCTGGGGAGTACTCAGACCAAATGCTAGGCCAGGAGAGCAATGGTGTGTAATAAGCCAGCCTGCCCTGCCACTGCTTCCTGCCCCACACCACACGTTTCTGGGGGGCTGGCCTTCCCAGCACACTGGGGCCCCAGTACAGGTTTCTCCTAAGCACACCTCCCAATCTCCAGCTTTGTCTAAGGTCGCTGCTACATCCCAACCACTCCCAATCTCCAGCTTTGTCTAAGGTCACTGCTACATGCCAACCACTTCCAATCTCCAGCTTTGTCTAAGGTAGCTGCTACATGCCAACCACTCTCAATCTCCAGCTTTGTCTAAGGTCGCTGCTACATCCCAACCACTCCCAATCTCCAGCTTTGTCTAAGGTCACTGCTACATGCCAACCACTTCCAATCTCCAGCTTTGTCTAAGGTAGCTGCTACATGCCAACCACATGTTGAGACTGCAAGCACCTGTGAGTCTTTGAACCAAGACTTGCTCTGGGCTGCCTGTGCAGAGCCCTCCAAAAGTGTTCACAGCCCCCAGGAACAGCCCTCAGCCAAGATCCTGCAGGAGTCCAGTCCCTTTAACATTCAGGTAGAACGATCCTTGACAGGCTTGCAGCCCACCTGCCCCCAGTAAGGTTCATGAAAACACATCCTTTGATGGCCCCCTTCCTGCTTTCCTTCCTGTCCTTCCTACCCATGCTCCCAATCAACTCCCTGATAAGCCCTTCAGGCACCACTTTCACTTACATCCTTGTCTCAGGGTTGATTTCTGGGGCAACCCAACCTGAGACACCTACTTAAGACATGGAAGCCTCGATCTGTCTATTCAGTCATTTCTTGTCTAATGTTTGCCGGGCTGTGCATTTGTTGCTGGGAAAACAGTATGAACAAGACCAGGTCCCTGCCCTCATGGAGCTCTGCTGGAGGGGAGCAGGCGGTGGCCAGGCTCCATCGGTGTGAATGAAATCCGTGCTGGCGGTGCCGGGGCTCTGAAGGAGGAGAGGGTCATGGGTAATGAGGGCCTTGAAGGCTGGACGGGGCGGCATTAGCTCAGGGGTCAGGAGCTGACGTTTGAGTTATAACCTCTACGAGAAGGGGCAGCCAGAAAAGATGGGAGGGGGGTGGATCTTACTGTGTAGTGGAGGAGACAGGTATAAACAAGCAGACGAATAATTTCAGAGAGGGGTAAGTGCTATGAAGAAGGTAAACGTGAGGGACTGGGGGTATGGGAACGTTTTTGGATGGGATAGCCAGGGAAGTCCTACCTGTGGAAGAACATTTAAGCTGAGGGTTCATTGACAAAAGGGATCACCCGTGGGAAGATCTGGAAGAAACAGTTTTTAAGCAGAGGGATAGTGAAGTACAGGACTGTCAGGCTGAGAAACAGCTAGACCAAGGTGGTGGGAGAGAAGAGTGGGAGATGAAGCTGAGAAGGTGATGGCTGGTTTATGTCCTCCCAAATGCATTTGAATGACACAGCAAGTAGTAGCAGAGGCAGGAAGCATCATGTTAGACCGTAATCTCATCTGGTTTAGAACAAGAATATTCAGATTTACGGGTGCAGGAACTGTGCTGAGCAATGCAGGTGAATCATCTCAGTTAATCTGCACAGGCACGTAGGAGCTGGGCATTGCTGTTACTCTTGTTTTATAGATTCAGACTTTAGGTTTGTCGCCCAAGTTCACACAATCAGGCAGGTGGCAGAGCTGGAATTGGAGTCCAGGGAGGCTGACGCAAAGGCAGGTGCTTAATCCCTGCGCAGCTGGTGCTGACTCCCAAAAGGCTGGTTGATGGATTCCTTTCTTGATGCATATCCTCTCATTAAAGAGAAAAAAATCTAATGACAAAAGAGAGAAAGGGAAGAGATCAGAAGAGTTTTAATGAATGGTATAGTTAAGAATAGCTCTAAATAAAGGCTATGAGTCAGTTTACCTCGATGGCTAATGACTTGTTCAAAAGAACAACTCATCATTGTCAAAACAGAAACCATTATCTTTTGTGTTCAGCTTCTCAAATCCAGCTGCTGCTACTAAACAATTCCATATTTCTAGGCTGCCACATTTTGGAGGAGCGAGAGGGTAACCATTGACATAGATACCCTGCGCCACATGTCCTTTCTCCAGCTTGCATCAAAGTCAAGCTGAGAGAAGGGACAGCAGCTAAAGGAACGTTACCAGATACGTGATCCATCTACTCTCGTGTAGCTTTACCAAGTTTCATCAGTAGGCAGTCGCATGTCTGGACTCGTAACTCAGCCATGGCCATCAGAATCACTGAGGTACCATTTGTTAGCATGACCTCGGCATTCCTATTGGGCAGTGTTGAGAATTCTTATAAAATTTATACTTTCTACATTTACTGAAAATTATTGAGAATATTATCCATTATATTGTTCAGTTGACTTGTGTTCAGGTCCCAAATGAGAAACTTCCCTTGGAACTTAGCTTTTTGGGTACAAGACCTCTTTATTTCTTGAACTTACTCATTTGATAAGAAACGCCAGGAAGCTCAGACCCACATTGGTGTGCCATCACCATAATCACAGTAGCACTGTGGTCGGGTATTGTTTTTCAGTGACCTTGATTTCTTTTTCTATTTTAAAAAAAATGATATCACATGTGTGTCCTTCACTGTAAGTCATCCTCAGTTTACCCCTCTCCTTTTATTAAGAAGGAGACAGCCTATGTGTTAAAAAACAAATGAAAGAAATGAACTGAGTGGAAATCAATGTAAATGTGTCTGCATTAAATCCCAAATTGTAATGCTGCTAAAACATAATGTGGTTAGCAATTTCAGTAAAGATTTATTGTAGATTTCTTTAAATTCTGAGTTTCCATGTGACATTTATAATGTTACTTAATTTACGTGCAGGTGTTCTGGCCTTATTCATCCCGTGGTATGCTTTACATCACCTAATATGTTACAATACACCTATTGTTAATTCATTCATTTATCAGCTGAGTCATTTGAACACTCCACAGCTGTAGGTAAAGACGGATCTATGGTGTTAACGTGCAACAGGACAAAGTTGCCATTCATTTTTACCTGGTCGATCCCGTTCCCCATCTTGCTCTTCCCACTCCATGTCATGCCTGTCATCTGCATCCTTACTACTCAAAGTGGTCCTGACATAGGCAACCCCTCTGGGCTTATTAGAAATGCAGAACCTCAGGCCCTGCTTAGACCTACTGACTCGGAATCTGCCTTTTGACAGGGTCCCCGGGTGATGCATATTCGCAGTGAAGTGTATGAAGAGTTTTGCAGCAGTACAAGTGGCTTGCTGACCTCCACACTACATCCCTCTTCCTCCTTCATACTTTTTTTTTTAAACTTAGTACCAATGATATTATCGTCCTATTGCCTTGGCAGGACACGAGGGTTCCTTTATTTAATAAACACCTTGGTATTTTTAAAAAATAAAAACACAGATTGTCAGGCCGTTTTAATGGCCCTTTGGTGGGGCCGTGGAATCTATTCTTTTTTAACAAACTACTCTGATAATCAGGCAACTTTAGGTACCACTGGTGCCCTGATATAGATCAACCTTCTCTGCATGGCCGTCAGACCCTCCTCAGTGCGGCTTTGGCCCTTTTCCTCCACGCTGCACTCATTTGCCCATTTTCCTTGCTGCTCTCTCTGAGACCATGGCCTCACAGATTTTCTCCCAACACGTGCAGCATCCCACACCCCGGAGCTGTTGCTAACTCTGCCCTCGCTGTGGGGTGTACACCTTGACCCAGCTGGGCTCTATGTGATGGGTCCTTCCTGGCCTCGCTCAGACACCGCCCCTGTGGGAGACTGACACTAGTGTGTGCTCTTAGTCAGAATTAAGGACTCCCTCCTTGTACCTACCACAGTCTGCTTTTCTCTTCTAGTACCTCTTCCATTCAGCCTAGAATTATCATTGCCTGTGCCCCACCATCCCAGTAAGGTCCTTTGAGAACATACATGACTTACCTTTGTGCTGTGTCTACCTCTACCCTAACTCCTAGCTTGTCACGGTACTTTTCCACTATGAAGCTCTTCAACATGTCTTGAATTGAATGGAAATATACTTTTGAGAGATCATGTCCCATTGAACATTATTTAATAATGGTCCCTAACCCAGCCAGTGTGGCTCAGGGGTTGAGTATTGATCTATGCATCAAGAGGTCACCAGTTTGATTCCCGGTTAGGGCACATGCCCAGGTTGTGGGCCAAACCTCCCGTGAGGACATGCAGGAGGCTGCCAATCATGTTCTCTCTCATCAGTGTTTCTATCTCTCCCTCTTCCCCTCTCTAATATCAATAAAGAAAAAAAATTTTTTTAAAAGGTTCCTAAAATCACAAATAATTTGAAATGTACACTAGAATATGTAGAGTATTGGATGCTTACTAGATTTTTTTAAAGGGGGCTTATACTTCCTGAGAAACTTATTTACTTCTTCTGTGATAGTTTATTAGCAAACACTGTTCCGTTCTCCCAGAAGCTGGGGCTCCCGAGGGGCAGCGAGCACGCCCTGTTAGCAGGAGCCTTCTTCCAGGCTTTGCCCTTTGTGTGTCAAAGCTGATGAATTATCTTGAATTGCTGGGTGCCCAAACTTCTTAGAAAAACATAGTAGAAAGGTGTTGGATATTTTGTTTGTTTCATAGTGGTTTTTAAAAAGAAATCCCCATGCGAAAGATAAAATTGTCTACTGTCTGCTAGTGTGTTGGCTTCAAACTCGTTGAGTTATCTGTTCGCTTTGTTTCAGTAATTCAGTGCGACCAAAAAACACATGCTCTCTTCTCCCAGGTGGTTGATAGTGAAAGATTCCTTTTTGCTGTATATGAAACCAGACAGCGGTGCTATTGCCTTCGTCTTGCTGGTGGATAAAGAATTCAGAATTAAGGTGGGGAAGAAGGAGACAGAGACGAAATATGGACTCCGAATTGATAACCTTTCAAGGTAGAAGTTTCAACTATTTTTTAAAAAGTAAATATTTGTTGGTAAAAAAAATATTTTTACCAAAATCTCTTAAAAACAAAGTTGTTCTCTCAACCTTAAGTAAAGGGGGTAAAATAATTTAAATGTTTGAAAAATTTTATTTAGAATGTAGTCTCAATAAAAAGTAATGAAACTACTTTTTCCTAGCAATTAATTTTGAAGAATAGAACATTCTATGGGCAACAATGAGAATAAACTATCCTGTGTATTGATATGTGCCCATTTTAACAACACTGACTACTCCAAAGTACCATTTTGCCAAACAGATAAATTAAGGGATGATTGTTCACATTAAAAAAAAAAAAATTTTACTTTATGAATTGATGTCCTTTAACAGAACACTTAAAAATGATTTGATTTAGAAAAATTCTGTTTACACATGGATTTTAAGGAAGATACCTTGAAAGGATACTCAAGTGTACACTTACTATAGATTTTATTAGTGAGCATATGTGTGTTGATATATATGCTTTTGTTTCTGGAAGCTTTTAGTTATATAATATGTGTGTCTTTCTCTCGATATACATTTGTGTCCATAAAGTTCAGCTTCATGTATATGAATATGGGTACATTTCTGTCTTTACTCACACTGACTGGCAGAGAGATACAGATATACCCTTACTAGTATACATTTGCATGTATGTGAGTGGAAAAGATTTGGACTTACCTTCTCTGGCAGTGGAAGGTTTGGGATTGGTTATTGGAAATGCAAAGGGGCTGCCATTAAATCTTCTTCCTAGGACTGTGTTTCTGTTCTGTGGAGGGCCACAGGCATCAGGCCGCCGTTCACACTGGTCCCTGTAACAGATCTCAGTGCCGGTTTTGGGGATCAGGGGTCTGGAATATGCCATTTTGCTTGGCTTTGGTGAACTCAGAATAGAGAAGGAATACTCTCCTAGAGTACAATCAGGATGTAAGGAAATGGACATCAGGCAGCACAAAGGGAAATGACCTCTGCAGGAGCCAACAGCTAAGTAACAGAGACACAGGTCCTCAGCTCCTACCTCTTTCATGATCCTCCTCACAGCCTAGCTCCAGGCCTACCGTAAGTACCTTTACACACGGTTGCACGAGTAAAGAAGTAACCTGAGAATTTATTTTTGCTACATTGACTATATTTTAAAATCTTGCCAAAATTTTTAGAAGTCTTCTTTTTTCGATATAAGTAAGATGCTATTTGCTTTAAAAAAAATTTAACTGATGTCTGCAGTATCAAAACAAAACAGGGCATGGTTCATCCTTAAATTTGTTTAAAGAGACAGAAAACAGAGTGACCATTCTTTCCCACATTTTGTTTTTCTCGGAAGGACACTTATTTTAAAATGCAACAGCTATAGACATGCTCGGTGGTGGGCAGGAGCCATAGAAGAATTCATCCAGAAACATGGCACCAACTTCCTCAAAGACCATCGATTTGGGTCGTATGCTGCTCTCCAAGAGAACGTTTTAGCTAAATGGTAAGGTTTTTTTGCTCTAAGACTGTCATAGTCATAGCATTTAATTCACCTGGAATCAGTTTTCAAAGCTGTGAAAAGATATAATGCCTTATACCTAACAAAGGCCCTTCTTTATAGGGCTACCTGAGCATCGATTCGTTTTCCAATGTTAGTTTTTAAGATTTTTTTTTTACCATAAGCTTGAGATAGCTAGCTTTAGATTTTGAAGTTTGATTTTAAAAGCGAACTTTACACCTTTTCTTAATGATGCAAATGGGAGATTTATTTAAATCATTACCCATAATTTAAGGAGGAGAATTTACTTGCTGGATATTTCTTTTAACTAAAATCATGCTTCGCATGTTTTTCTACCCAAAGATAGGAAACCGGTCTATTTTCTGTCTCAGAAGAACAACTGTGTATGAGTTTAAGAGGATGGGAGAATTCATTTGACCCCCTATGATATTGACACCAAGCAATTGTTGCTTACCTCTATCTATTTACTGTCCCTCCTCCGTAGCAGTTGGTGTTCTCGGTCCTTGTTTTCCATTTACACAAAGTATCTGGTGTTTATGTGGAGAGGCTAGGCAGTGGCTTCCGTCTTTGGTTTTGCCGGAAGATGTGTGTCCTTTCTACTTCTTTTATTTTTGGTAAAACAAAAATGAAAAACACCTTGTCTTTCAGGTATGTTAATGCCAAAGGATATTTTGAAGATATTGCAAATGCGATGGAAGAGGCAAAAGAAGAGATTTTTATCACAGATTGGTGGTTAGTATTTGCCCACGGCGATGGTGTCTGGAGGTCTCTGTGTGTAGGAACAGCGGGTTTGTCATGACGTTCCGCAGTCACAGGTCATGGAAACCGGCCGTACCCGCAGATGGTCTGGCCAGGGTTTCAACCAACTAACTCTCGTAGCCTCCAGTGAAAGTTCTTTTCAAAACACTTGGCATCCAAATATATTCTTAAAATATTTAACTTGAACAATTTTGTATTTGCCTTTTTACTTGGAAGTGGACACTCACTATTTGTTTTGGTAAAGAGTAAGTTGCAAATGCAGTTGTAGAGGTAGTAGAAAATAATCTTCCTGGGTAGTTTTTCCTCATTTTGGTATGTCTGGCACCAGGTCCAGTGGATATAATTCTTCTGAATTGTCCCTTTGAAATGGGAATTGTTCCATTTGCCTACCACTGTTAAAATGTCCTTGTTAATGACTAGCCTGGTCAGCTTTTTTGGAGACATGTCAGATTTCAACTTTCTGACCCTTTTTAATAAAATCCATGAGAGTTTGGATGCTTATTAAAACTACTAGAATTCTTTTTTTTTTTTAATCCTCACCCGAGGACATTTTTCCTTTTTTGTTCTGGTAGAGTGGGAGGGAGAGACAGGAACAGAGAGAGAGAGAGAGAGAGAGAGAGAGAAAGACAGAGAGAGAGAGAGACATCGATGTGAAAGGGACACATCGAGTGGCTGCCACCCGCACGACCAACCAGGGCCGGGGACAAACTGCAACCGAGGTACGTGCCCTTAGCGGGAACCGAACCCGGGCCTCTCGGGACCGCAGGTCGACGCTCTAACCGCTGAGCCAAACTGGCCAGGGCAAAACTACTAGAATTCTTGTATCTAAAACTCATTTAGCTTCTGGGGAATTTCACTCCTAGACAGGCTCTGTAGTCTGACTTTAGTTCCAATTACCCATCTGCTGGGACAGTTAAAAATGATTGCAATGCCAACATTGACTACGATGGAAATAAAATTATTTAAAATGTGTTTTTCTTCTCAGATCTTTGTTGCTTGCAATGCCCCTATGTTTTTCTATCCTGTTTCCTTCCAAATGCTACCTTATGTATGAACTGTGAAAATATCATCATCATTTATTTCCTTCTAATTCTAGATTTTAGGGGGAGGGGAGAGTAGTTAGGAATGTGGATTCCTCTTTTTTTTTTTTTTAATGTTTTGTCTCAGTGATGTGAAACTCTATAATTCTGGGGCATGCTTTCCTAACCTGGGTACTACTGACATTTGGGGCCAGATAATTCTTAGTTGTGGGGTGATGTTCTGTGCATTGTGGGATGTTTAGCACCATCAGTATCCCTGGCTTTTACCCACTAGATGCCAACAGCAACATCCCAGTAGTGATAACCCAGAAGTCTTTAGACATTGCCAAATGTCTCTTGGGAGGCAAAGTGCCTCTGGGTTGAGAACCATTGATCTAGAATTATTAGATAAGGTATGTGATGGTCAGCGTGGCTACAGATCACTTATTCTCATGTTGATGGGGGAGTTGATTTTTGGCCTTTATAGTCTTGCCAAATGTTGTCTCTTTAGTCAATTAACAGGAATAAATTGAAGTTTCCTACTTAGGAGCTATTTCTTTGGTTGAATACTTTCTAAACACTTATGAGAATACATTCAAGTTTAATGTTGTACTCTATTCCTTGAAAAAATATTTCTGAAAGTTTGACAAAGACATGAGAGAGGCTGGATACAGTGTTTCTACTGAGCCCATGTTTGCATGCTTTGTGCAAGGATATAATACCTTTCGAAGGTTGTGAATACTCAAGTAGACTCACATTTTAACATCTGAAGGGATGGAACCCTGACTGTTTTCTCTTCTACTGTCAACAAAAACATGAACCAGGAGGTTATTTCTTTTTCATGACTGCTCTAAGATAACATCTTTTTACAACACTCCCTTTGAAATAAAACCTTTGCAGTAACTTCTGTCCTAACAAGTGACGAAAATCCTTATCCTGCAAGTATATTGCAAAAGGGAGCATTCAAATACATACCAAAACCCTGAAGTGTCTAGATCTGAGAGAGGAATAGCATAGTTAGAGAATACACATGCCCTTTAGAAACTTCCAGTATAATTCAAGAGACATATACTTAAGTGAAAATGGTGTTAAAGTGTTTCTGAAACAATTATTGTGCAAGCAAAGACAGTTATAGTGAACTGAGAATCAACCTGGGACCTAGAAGTTCTTAGATCCTTTGATCATTAATTTCACCAGCTCTCCACTCCTCTGTTCATTTACTCACTAGTTCTTTCCCGGGCTACCGAGTGAGCACGCACTCCGTGAGAGGGCCTGAACCAGGCCTCGTGCATGTAAAGATGAATGAGAAGCAGTTCTTATCCTGGAACAACGTAGAGTCAGGAAGTCACACGTAAAACAACAGATGGGGGAAACTCAGTGATGAGGGTCGGAACGGCAGCTGTCTTGGAGGGGCAGGGCCTGAGCCTGCAGAAGGGGCTGAGGAAACTTCACAGAAGAGAACGCTGGCCTGGGTCCTGGGATGGCGTTGGCGAGATGAAAATAGGTGAACGTTTTAGGCAAAGGGATAGCCAGGACCAAGGCATGGAGGTGTGAGCGAGCACAGTGATTTTGGAGGAGGGTGGAGGTTATGTGTAGGGTTAGTGTAGTGTTCTTTGGGGTGGTGGTTGGAGATAACACTCAAAAGATGGGGTAGGGCCAAATCGTGAAGGGCACTGGGTGAGCTGCCGAGGAGTTCACACTTAATCCAGTGAACACTGGGAACCACTGGGAATGTTTAAGCATGAAGGGTTTTTTGCTTGTTTTTTTTAATTAAATGTATTGGGGTAACATTGGTTACTAGTATTATATAAGTTTCAGGTGTACAATTCTATATTACATCATCTGTATATTCTCTGTGTGCTCACCACCCAAAGTCTTGTCTCCTTCCCTCACCATATATTTGATCTCTTTACCCCCTTCACCCCCTCCCACCCTCTGGTAACTACCATACTGTTGTCTGTGTGTATGACTTTATTTTTTTCATTTGTTCATTTGGTTGAGCATGGGAGGTTCTTTTGTTATTCATTCAGATCGTTTGTGAAGAGTGGAAGTTGGGCCGTCCCATCCCTGTGATATTGCAACATGAAAAGTCACATTCCTTACTAAGGAGACCCCACAGAATCGAGAGCCTTTCAGCAGTCCAGTGCCGTAGGTTACAAAATTAAAAAATAGCCCTGGCAGGTTTTTCTCAGTGGTTAGAGCATTGGCCTGCGGTCCAGAGAGACCCGGATTCAGTTCCCACTAAGGGCACGGACCTCAGTTGCAGTTTGTCCCCGGCCCTGGTTGGGTCGTGTGGGTGGCAGCCACTCGATGTGTTCCTTTCACGTCGATGTTTCTCTCACTCTCTCTCTCCCTCCTGCTCTATCTGAACAAAAAAATGGAAGAATGTTCTCGGGTGAGGATAAAAACAAAAAAACAAAATTAAAAAACAAATGATCCCCACGTTTGGCAGGAAACATGTGCAATATGAGGAGGCCTGGGAGGAAAGGGCACTTGCTTTTCAATAAAGCAGTTACAAAACGGAAAGAAAACCCACAGTCCCACCACTGTGATGGGTGTGACAGATACTAGAAACCTAAAACAGGAACCCTGCAGCACCCTGTCCTTGGCAGAGAAGTGTTCATTCAGTGAAAGCAACCGAAGGGTTTGTGTCTTAAAATGCAAGCTTGATGAAGTAACTGATTGTAGACATTTCCACCTTAAGAAAAGGTCCTACCTTGCCCCATCAGAATGGTAGTTTTAATTGAATTTGTTTCTGAAAGGGACCACTCTGGTAATAATATAGAAGACAAACTGAACAGTGGCTGTAGAGATCATTTCGTAAGCTATTGTCATGGTGTGGGAGGCAAATGGTAAGGGTCCCTGCATAGACCACCACAGGGTCTGACTTACTAACTTGGAGCAAATCATTTAACTTTTATAAGGGAAGTTTCTAAAGCATACTTGAACTAACATTAACAATAATGGCTATTATTTGTTGAATTCTTACTAGATGCCAGGATGGTGTTATAGATGAGAAAAGTAAGAGTCAACGAGGCAGATTGGGAAGCCGCCCAGTCCCCCAGTCTAGGATGGGTGCTGGCTGGGATCCGGTTGTGTCTGCTCCTGACCCCGTATCTCAGAGCTGCTGCTTGGAGGAGCTGCCCCACTGCCTGGTGTCTGAGGTTCCTGTTAGCTCTGAGATTCTTTGAAGATGGATTTTTTTTTTAAGGTGCTGGATAAAGTACTAATCTGATTTGGGTAGATTTCATCAGGAGAAATTGTTTGAAGAGGTAAATTTTAAGGTAAGGCTGTCAAGTTGGAGGAGACAAAGGTTTCTTACACAGCCCAGACTCACGAAAACCCAGGCAAAGAGTAAAATGTAGCTAAACGTTTAAGGTACCAAAAGATGAAGCTTTATATAAATATGAGTGAGCAGTCCATATTTCGTGTTTCTCCTATGCTGTCCAGTAGTCACCGGAGTCGATTGTAAAATGAAGTAGGAGACCATGAGGCGGCTTCCAGCTCACTGCTGAACTAACTGCTGTAACGTAGGGCAGACCCACAGAGTGCGGCTCAGCTCGGCTCCTCTCGGCCATGGTGATTCTGGTTAGCACTGTCCCACAAGGATGTGCAGCGAGTGTGTGGAGTCCTTGGCCAGACTGTCCTCTGACCTGTCAGGTAGAGGTGCTGCTGGGTTTGTGCATTAAATGAGCCAGAGATAGACAGGATTAATAAACTGGAGAATAAAGAATAAAAACAACAAAGATTTTTAAAGGAGGATTTTATAAAAGAAGAGAGGCAAGAAAGGGGCTGAAGGCAAAGGCTATAAAGTAAAAAAAAAAAGTCAGCATTTTATTATTGATTGGCTCACAAGCTATGATTGTTCTAAGTAGGAGGATACATTTACATTGATTTTAACATTGTGTTTTTCAAGTAATGAGTTGTGACACTAGTAATTACTTATTAAAATAA